TTATCCCATTCATATCGATTGAACTCTTCGTCCCATCGATTTGGCTGGCAACTACCGTCCCAGCAGCCATGGGCTCGAAGAATTCTTGTCGCATCTGGACAGGCCGAATAATTGTACAAGGTCATCTTCGGAAACGAGTGCTGGCTATAGTTATGGTGGTCCAGCAAAGGTAAATGACCTTGATGAATATATTGCCAGGTAAGGTTACGACCCGAGCAAGCATGCTCGTTAAGGTACGAGTTGGCCGAGAAATTTGAGAGTGATGATCCCATGTTTACGAGTTGTCGATAAATTGTTGATAAATTGTTCGGCTGCTACACTGTTAGTCAAACTGCGCCATATTGAAGTCAGGAGATACTAAAGTCAAGAAAAACATACATAATGTAAGGTGAGATTGATAAAGTGAAAATTTGCTTGAGAGATGATGTTCGAATAAGATTATAGAAAGTATCGATTTGGGTGAGAAGAGAGGTTGATGCTGTATTCCTGAATAATGTGTACATGAGAGTTTATATATGCGTAGATTCAATCTAGATTCAATCTAGATACTAGCACAAGGAAAGACCCAAGTGCTCATCAACTCTTCACATGTATTTTATAGGGCATGACATGTGAGGACTACACCTTTGGAAATTTCAAAGTCTTCAAGAAATATAATCCCGCCACCTAGGTCGTATCTAGATCCTGGTTGACTTTCATCTAGAAGTTTGGTACAAAAGAACCATTTTTCGACTTGAACAAGCCTAACGTCGTGCCTAGCTCTTAATAGCCGCAACAAGGAACTAATTTTGATTCTCATCCATTTTTGACATGAAAGTTTTTGGCATCTTTTCAAGGGCCCATATATATATGATGTGGGGCATTTTCGATGAACACTACTTTATTGGGAATCTCACATTTTTCAAGCCAATTGTACTTGCCACACAAATTACAGCTGGATGACAGTGAAAGCTTCTAATATTATGAAGTTTCTTGCATAGTGAAGCTAATTGATAAGTACTCCGTTTTTAAGATGCTTTAGTGAAAGCACCTCACGCCTAACAATTTATCCTCATAAAAAAATGCAGTATTTCTAGCATGTATTCAACACAAACTGAGCCCTGTGTCAAGGTGGCAATTTTTATTGGATAACGGACGCTAGTCGATAGACAGCTGAGTCAATCTAAGAGTTTTTCATTTGATCCACTTTGTTAAGGAGCGACGAGGCGTGGTAAGAATTGCAGATTGAGCTTGATGATTTTCTCTATTTTCTCTATTTTCTCTATTTTCTCTATTTTCTCGATGATCTAGTACGTATTCGTCTTGACATGAAATCTTTGATTACTATGGAAAAGCTATAGATTGCCACAATATCAACAGCCAGTCGCCATCATGTACATCATTTACATCATTTTTGTTTCCTCGTTTAGTTGAAATTGTAAATTGCATTCATGTACCGATTACTGCTGGAGAAACCGACGACGCTGTTCAAGGCTCCAAAATCTCTCGTGATAAACGTGTTATAAAATTGGTTTCCTCACAAAGAATTTGGTCCAATCAGACTCTTCCGCCACTACACTTGGCTAAGCTAGTGTTTAAGAAGAGCTGTTTGAAATCTTGCGAATACATGCGAATACATTTCAACAACATTGGTCCGACTTAGTAGTCCCAGCGCCCACCTTTGATTTTTTGTTTCCGTAGTTCGAGAAGATAAACTAAGATGGACAACTGATCCATTATTTATGTCGGAATAGTTGGCCTCGATTTCTACCATTCTGATGGATTTGGTAGCTTCCCGCAGTCTAGAAGTAATCGCCTCGATTACGATTCTTTTAAGCCACATTCCAGAGAAATCTCCCAAAGTTGTCCAAAGAACAAATGATATCCATGGCGATAGTTCTCGAGAAGAATGAATGGTGTTGGAAATGGAAACACAGAGTATTGTGGACGTACGGACCCTCCATTTCGTCTAGGTTCACGACACGATCTTGCGTCTATTAAAGGAGTTGGAATGGATAATATTGTAGCAATTCAGGCTACCTAATGGATGTTTGAGAGGCTGTGTAGTATGGTCACAAGGAGCTAATTGGTGGTTTTCTTTGCTTAGATGACGCCGGAATTATTCATGTTATAGATTAGGCTTTGCGTCGCCTACACTTGTACTTATAACACACACCTCATAATCTTCTAGTAGTAATCTGAAAGTGACACTCTTTTACTCAACTTCCTCTTTCGTTCCAAGAATATTGTGTCTATTTTATTGCGCGATATTACCAGCATTCGGATTTACTTACACAGCTGTTCGCCTGAAAATCGTACCTAATTCTATTGGTTATTCTACCTTTGATCGTTATATTGCCACAAAAACGACTTAGCTCTCCAACTCTTAGATCCTTTATGTTAAGACACTTTTCATTTTGCGTGAATGTAGATGTTAGAATATTGGATAACTTCACAATTCATTCGTTACCCAAAAGTTAAGACTAATTACAAGGGAAGCTGTGTCCCTATTCATTATTCATAGATCCTATTTATTTGTATAATGTCTGTGTCATTGGCACCAGTTCAAGCATTTATGTGAGTTATTAGAGGTCAACTTGGTCCAATCCACCATCGTCGCATCGGGTGCTGGGTAAGCTCTGGAAACTCATCGGATAGCATTTCCTCTTTGATCAAAGGTTGATGATGATGAGTGCGTCAATAATACGATCTCATGTGATAGTGGTTAGCTTCACGATAATGGTGATAGGGGAATGTACTTAGGGATGAATCTGATACAGACCGTGAAAGCGATTGGGAATCCACATGGAAGCGAGGACTTGATTACTTAATCTCGACTCTGCAGACCATACAGTGAGAGCTGGAGATTCGTAGGGGTCACTACTGACAGGTTTTGAGAAAAGTCACTCCTTGGCTTAGGCTATATATGCTACTACATCAAAACTTGTACGATGGCTTAAGAAATCACAGTTTTTTACCAAAATTTGTATCCGGATTCCCTGAAAGACATCAATGAACGACGTCTAGGGGTAGTTCAAAGAAAAAAAAAGAAAAAATAAATAAAAAAGAGTTTATGGGCTAAATTTTCTCTCTTTTCTCTTATTTAATTTAGCATGTCGGTAAGATATTATTCCTTCTGATAGTGGTCCTCATTCCCTCTGGGAGGCATAAATTTCCGTAGACAGCGTGACGTTTTAAGTCGTCTGATACCGTATTTCATCCTGGGCACTCCTTTATACGGGGTAGCTGCCGGCAAAGACGAATTCTTCACCTTCTAGTGGTGCCGGTGTAATCGCTCAGCATGCTCTGCATATCTGGGAGAGCCAAGAAGAATCGCATCCGAATCGAAGTCGAAAGCAAACACATGTATATCTCCATTTGACGACTTCTCAACCATGCAGCACTCATCATTATCTTCTGAGTCCTCAACCCCGATCTAACCACATATCACTTCGCCTCGACGACCGATAAAGGCATCACCCCAATCGCAAACAGGAGCTTGCCTCATTCATTACCGGCCATCACTCTCTACATATTTACGACGCTATTTATACCCGCAAGGAGGAAATCAAGTCGAAAAATACAAAGTTGGGGTCTTGGTTTATGGGGGACTGCTGCTCCAACGGGGTTATACATCTTGAGGAAGAAAAAGCGGCTGAGATGTGGAGCGAGAGAAGAAAAAGGTCTCTTAAGACAATGCTGGGACAGACATTTTTGTGGAGTTTTCAACCTTGGATTTTTTGTGGGCGCCAAGACCAAGATTTCGGCTAATTAGCCAGGAGGGCTTCTTTTGTCGATGAGTCAACGGCACTCCCCAGCGCCCTGGACGGTATAAATGAAGTTAGGCTAAGCTACTATACAGCAATCACGCTCTGTCAAGACTTTTCTGACATTTCGGCAAGACCTTCGTGAAGGAGTTGGAAGGAGGCTAGAAAGGCAGAGGGTGAATTTCCCGAGGTACATACAAGTTTGCAGCGCCCAGCTGGCCGGCCTCTTTGAACGCTTCAGAAGGGGCAATATGTCTTCGGATTTAGTCCTAATTTCGGTATTAGGAGAGCTCCGTACCCAGTGGTTTTTGCGACTTTTCTTGGCTGCCATACACCCGCAAATGGCCATCGTTTCGTTGGCTGGAGAGGGGAGATAATGAAGGGCTAAGGGCTCCTCTTAGTGTAAGATCGAATGAGGACTTGTGAGGGGTGGTACTGTTTGAGGGGAGCTGTATGGGAGGCATAGGATGGGATATACTACTGGTATAGGTATCCTTGGCCTGTAGGCAGAGAGGACCTGCATGTCCTACATAGTCATAGACTCAGACAGGACAATAAAATGAATTAACAATACGGGGTAGCTGGGTGCACACGGTTTCTATAGCAGTAAGCTCTGGCGTCCTTTGCCGATTTATGACTAGTGTATTTTGATAATTAGTTGTTAAATACTAAAGAAACTGCATAAGTATTGTTTCCCGACTACAAATGGTATTATTGGGTTGGAATTTTGGTTATGGGAGTTTGTGGAGCTTTTGTTCTTTTTTTTAACAAGCTACTGGCTGTGTAGTGGTTCACGCGGTGAGACCGAGTTGGGCATGTGGGAAGTATGATCTCTGCCGTGTACACCAGTCCTCGAGTCCGAAGAGATATAGAGCATAGCTTAGGAGCTAAAATCAACAAAAACAAAATTACATAGGCTACTAGGCGTGTCAACGCTCCGAGAAGCCCCCTCGAGCTCTAGTATCTTTAAGGTACCAAAAGAAGATTTTGCTAGGAACCTGGTAAGCGGTTCTACGTGTAGCAGAGTGGGCTTTCCATTTCTGAGGTCTACGCAAGGACTTGCCTTAGAAATCACAGAAAAGGGGTAAGTAGGTCTTAATCTCTACCTCATCTTTGAGCCTTGGGTTATGGATGGATGGTTTAGTATTTCTGAATGGATCTATTAGTAGTATCCCGGGAATGGGTGTAGTACATCAAAGTAGTGAAGAGCGTAGGCGACTGACTGTAAAGTTGTAGGTGCTTCGCTACACTCTATCATGTAATTAGAAAATTGTCTTGCACATCTAGTTGGGAAGTAACAAGGGCGAAGCCTCCTGGACAGTAAGCACTGGCGTCCATGCCTCTAGTTAAATTAGTAGGTAGTGGAGACCAAAGCCAAGGATTTGCGCCCCGATGGACGAAAATTAGAAATAAACAACAAACAACGCACCGAAATGATTACAACTTGTTAGAAAGTGAGGCTCAGCTATTGTTCAGCGCTTCAGAAAGTTATAAAAAATATGAAGGAATGACCGCTTCTATCAAACTTCTGGATGATGCCTTACACTTTAAAGCCCACTTATTCCAATCACCTCAAAGCTTTCACTGCACAGCACCTCTTGCATCTTTTCTTTCAGAAATAGATTTCTTTATCGGAAAACATTACTCAGCACGCAAGATTCGCGTCATTCGATTTTTCACAGTAATAAACGGTGTTTGGGAGGGTCGTGGGCTATATCGTGGCTATTCCGACATTCGATAGGGAATGGTTGTTTGGTTATTTCGCGTATCTAGAGAGATTGCGACATCCAGGTGGACTATACGTCATCTTAAATGGTCCTGAGTATTTTCTTCGCAAACTTAGTTGTATGGTGTTCTTTGCAGTCCGGGAGTTTCAACAAAAACTGTCCAGTTTTACTTATTCTGGCGAGAAAACGAGGAAAGGGATAATTGAATTGATCATTTGGCTATGTCTGGATTTCAGCTATAAGAGAATAGTGCACCTTCTGGTTAGTAGACACAACGCGGACGGGTGTTAGGCCATAGTCATTCCTGCGCACATGGCGAATTGCTTATTTTTTAAGCCAACAAATATGGTCACATGATGTAATCCTTGTATTCCATTATCGGAAACAACGAAAATAGTAAATAAACCACGACAGAATCTCAGCCTTGTCCTGGGCCGTGGTAAACGATTATCACTGCAACGGCGGCTACGCTAAAGCCATTAACTTATCAAATTATATACACCCTAAATTATTTTAAGATGGGTCGACGACCGGGAAAAGTCGCTCTTAAACCCACGTCAATTGTGCTGAGTAAGAGCCAGAGAATTGTTCCTTCGTTCATAGTTAGGGAGGTCGCTAATTAAATTAATGTAGAAACTAGTTCTCAGAAGTTTGATGTAGGGCAAAACGAAATTACACCAAATGTCCCAATCTCCGATGTCGAAATTCCTAAGGCTCTTGAAGATGATGCTGAAGAAGACGATGGAACAATGGCCGCAGAGTCAGAACAGGCTCCAACTTCTACAACATCTCTCGTTGAGCCAGTTACCCGAAAGAAAAGATTAGGCAGGCCTCCCAAGAATCGTCCATCCGACTGGGATGTTCAAGACAGCGAAACTGGTGCTGTTGAGGCGCCCACTACTCCAGCACGAGGAAGAGGTAGGGGAAGAGGAGGGTTTGGACGTGGAGGTGGACGTTGGGCGAGAAGAGGTGGTCCATCCCACATAACGCAACAGCCCGTAGACAAGGAAGGAAATATGATGGATGTCATAAATGATGAAGTTGAACTTCCCGAAGATGCTGAGGGTGAGAAGAAAGTAGATAAAATGGGGCACTTGCAGGATGGTCGAGAATATCGTTGTCGTACTTTTACCATTCTAGGAAGAGGCCAAAGATTATATATGTTATCCACCGAGCCAGCTAGGTGTGTGGGTTTTCGAGATAGTTACCTCTTCTTCACCAAGCATAAGAGACTCTACAAGATAATCATTGACGAAGAAGAGAAAAGAGACTTGATTGAACGGGAGCTTATTCCACATTCATACAAAGGTCGGGCTATCGGAATCGTGACGGCACGCTCGGTCTTTCGGGAATTTGGCGCGCAGATAATCGTCGGGGGAAGAAGAGTTATTGATGATTATGAAGTCGCTAGAGCCAGAGCTGATGGTATACAAGAGGGTGAACTTGCTGATCCAACAGATATCGTAAAAGAAGGAGAAGAATACAACAAGAATCAGTACGTTGCATGGCATGGCGCAAGTTCTGTTTATCATTCTGGTGCACCAACGGTCCCATTGCCGGCGGGAAAAGTAATTGATGGAAAGAAAAAGAAAATCATGATCAACGATGTAAATTGGATGCTCGAGCATGCCCGGGAGGCTAGGTAAAAGTTATTCCAGAGATAATTTGAAATGCTAACCTATCTACAGTCGATTTAATGCCAGCCTTGGTACTTTACGTCGTAAAACTCTGAATGGCATTTATGATAACCACACTAACGTCATGATGTATCCCAAAACCATGCAGCCATCTCATGCTCGGTGGGTTCAGATCGACGCCGATGATGAAGTTATGCAGAACTCACATAATAATGATCTTGCAGCAAATAAAGAAGATGGTTGCTCTAGTATATTCCCGCCCCTCATGCCAATGTACTCAAGAAATATGTTGGTCGTTGATACTGTCTATGAATCAGCCCCGGCATCATTGCTTGGAATTCCAGGCCCTGACGGTGACACATTGGATATCGGTTTTACTGGTCTTTCAGGTGTGCCAGAAGAAATCAAATCCGAACTTCCTCCTAATTGTCGAAAGGCATTCGATGAAGCATTAAACATGGAGCAACAGTGGAAGTCACGATGGGGTAGCGAAAGTGAACATAGCCACAGAAGACCCCCTATTATTGATAAGGGCGTTGTGTAATGTCTTCTTAAGTTTACGGACCATTTTCGTTTGTAAATAGAATCGTTACCGCTCGCAACAAGGAGTTGGAACCCGTTTGGTCAAACATAAAGTGAATGCTGGTCATACATCAATGTTCCAATAAATTAAACATAAACTTATTACGACAGAAGCTCTTCCAAATCTAGGATACTATTTAGCATTTGGACTTCTTAATGCTTATTAAAGAGTTACCCGGAAAATTATTGGTGTTGAAGAAAAATTTTAGACTCCAGTATCATTTTTAAGAATAATACTACTAATGTCAGAAACTCAACAGTAATTTCGAGCCCGAAACCGGGGACTACTTCTTTCAAAATAAAGAAGATAACTATAAAACCCTTGGTTATTGGATGAGAGATCTTATTTTAGAATAATTCAGCTAGGAATCATAGAGTCCTTCATTTTTTAATTACAGTTTTAAATTGAAATATAAACCTTGCTTGATGATATTGTGATATAATAATTTCAGCTACTGTAAACATAACTCTACATATCGTCAGATATAGTACACCTCTTCGAGTACTGCACAGCCCTGCAAAGCTACCATTACGTCCGACTGTTGAGGGTCAATTCCACACAGTGGCATAGAGTTGTCGAAGTTAGGATAAGATAAGAACTCTGTTGTAATCTTACCGAGTCCAAAACTATTGTTTGGAGTATAGCCGTAAAGCTGGCGTAGTCGCGTGTTATTCTAGTGTTAATTATGTAATCATGTAGATACAACATTGTGATCTTCTTTGATAGGAAGAGACATTATTCACATATACCAACATTAGACGCCCTTTGATTGGATCCAATCCTTCCCTGTGATACCAACAACTATGAAGGACTTCTAGAATGTGCCTATTAAATTCTGGCTAATATTTCAATGTTAAAATTTGGTTATTTATTATTTTCTAATAGATGATGAGGGCCATGTCCTGATTAGAGTTGTCGAGAATAATATAGCATGGAACTTGATTGTAGAAAATTGCAAAAAGACTGAAATTTACTGTTTGAATTTGATTTCATTATGCTGATTTGGCGCCGTATGGGCCCATGCAGGTGTCTGTATACTTTCTAATTTACATGGGAGGAAACATTTTGGGGAAAACCCCCCAAACCTTCCTGCTTAATTTCTATGTTTTTTATAAAGTATCCTTTGGGAAGCGCAGTTACACTATAGTGCCCTCCATATAACCCAATCACATCAGCTTTATCGACGTCAAGAAAGGCATGACCTGTTCCTTTCCCTCAGCAGCATTTCGACCGCCTTTGTCATCTGGAATTGCTCTATCCAACCATGATTTAGGACCCACTGTGTTATCCTTTTGATATCTCCAGGATTGCCTAGCATAGCTTCGTAGGACCGATCTTTCGCTTGTCTCCAGATCTCTCCTCTTCCGTTTGACCATCGAGGGCAGGACATAATCTTGTGCTTGGGGTTCTGCGATTCGTAGCTACATGGACAGCTTGGGCTGTAGACCCCGGGTACTTTTCTTCTGTATAAATACGAGTTGAGCCCCATGTGCTCACTTCGTATTTGAATTGCTAGACTGCTTCGGGCCCTTGTCAGGTTTCGGTGGAGTAGGAATGGCGATTCCTGGAGACTTATTTTCCATCGATCCGACTTTTGGTTCTGATAGAACTTGCCTGCTCTCCAGGTTTCGGGGTCGGCGATTGCTTAATGTCGAGGTAAGTTGAGCCGCCTTTGGTTTTTCCAGGATTTAGCCCATACTTGGTATGCTGCAACTTTTCCTGCCTCCTTCTGCCTTTTTAGTGACTGGTCTTCCCCACAAATTTCCAACCAGTTTACCAGATCCGATCTCCTACTATTGGCTCGAATGTCTTCTCTCCCTCGTTTCGGCAGCTTGACATTACTACAGGCAGATTGTATGAGCTTCTGAACTGGTAGGTTTTTCGAGCGGCCAGCATATTGGAGTCTTTGCTGCTTCAGGTAGATTTCTATCGATATAAAATTTACTATTATTATTTAGAATTTGATTTCATTTAACCCGATTTGGCGCCCTGTGGGCCCATGCAGGCGGCTATGAACCTATCTACATATTTATATGAGGGGGAAACCATTAAGATAAAAGCCTCCTTTCCCTTGAAGTTTTATATCTGTAGTCCTTTTTAACCTACAGGAAGTTCAATCGACCTTTAGTCCGAGACAGGACTAGCTAAAATTGTAGGTGACCTCGCCATCCTTTCCCTGCCCTCGCCTGCCGAAAAGAGACGACTGTGGTCTTGAACTTGACCCCAATGATCCAAATACTTGTGGTAGTGGGTTGACCAGGGGCTGTTTGTGCAGGCGTCCTGGCCCTCTCTTTAGCACCTCCGGCTTTTGATGTGACACCAGTGTAAACCCTTGGTCGTCTGCAGATTTCGCCGTAGTAGTTGTTGTAGATGCCGTTGTTAATGTCTCTCCTTTCCTGAATTCCGCCGTTCTCTCCATGAGTTCATACCGTACCCGTTGAACGCTGGCCTTGTATGCCGCGAAGTTTTGATACGCCCCCTTCTACCACGATTTATGGACCTTGTCGCAGTTGCAGCAAAGTACCGACTTCCTCGGGGATTCCTTGGTCTGGCGAGTGCCTGCGCACTCAACACATCTCCTTGCCTTATTGCAAGAGGCTTGGGTATGTCCCCACTGACACCAGTTGAAGCACTGCTTGATTTGTGCTAGGGGTGATCAGAGCTGGGCCGTATACAGCATTGAGTTGTATACACTGCCATTTCTTATCACTTCGCGTTGAAGTGCCTCTGCCGGCAAACTCGCGACGATTGACCCTCGACTATGACCGTTGGTCCCAATCCATCGGTACTCCTTTCACTCGAAGAGCCATCCCACCCTGTTGATTTTTAATTCGGGTATCCGAAATTTTGTTTCTGCCTCAACTTGGTTCATAAACTTGCCGTTATTTGGATTTTCTCCTCCTCTTATAAATTTCCCCAAGGAGATCCCCAAAATCTCAACAGGGTAATCCCGCTTTAGGACGCAGAGCTCCTTTAGTTGCGCCATACTCAAGGCAGCGTCTCACTGGGAGACCGATTGCATAAAGCCCTCCGTATCATTGCTCCGCAGCTTCCTTACTGCGTATGCCCCCTCCAAATGTATTTTTGGCTCGTCTAAGAGCTCTGCTGGCTCCATGTTGTCTGCTCCTTGTATTCTTTTCCGTAATACCGCTTTCGTCGCTTTCGTCGCTGGCGGTGCGACGATTGACGCTTTCATAGGCTCGATTTCCAGACGCAGCTAACGTGTGTGAACTTGAGTAGCATCTTTTAGACTTCCAGGCCGCCCGATTGCACATGCTCTAGGCCCGCTACCTTCACCTCTATAAAATATATCTTATACATGTTGCGAAACCAACTCAGACACTCCCCGCGCTCGTGTATTCAGTATGTGTCCATTAAGATTGTAGAGTGTCGCCTATTCGATACTAGTCACACCATCACTTTTTGTCACATCTGACATTTGAGACTGCGACGAGTATACGCGTGACTGGTATAAGGTCTGTAGTTTGTTCCGTTGTGTCCTATAATGAGACATTACACTCTAGCCCATGTCATTGCCAGACATCAATGTATATAAACAGTCTCATATCCTTTAGTAAAGATCAAGAGTTTCAATCAAGCCTTTCCTATAAACATAATTTACATCTACGGGTACCCTTGAGAGATTAAACTTCGTATTTTCTCCGTGATGACCCGAAGAGTTCTGCGTATTCCTAGTATATTTTCAACAATACAAACTCTTCCCCAGCTCACACTAGAACTACTCTCGCATTCTCATTATTTTCGAGAATCAGAACAGACCTTTATTACATCTATCGATCACTGCAGTCACAACCATATTTTAGGCTTCCCTCTTCCTGGTATGTTTTATGATGCAAAAGAAATGGTTGATCGATGGAGGCGAGTAGAAAAGCATTGGTCGAGTGCAATTTTTGTAATGTAGACAAGCCTAGCATCCAAAAGTCATAATAAATGTGGAGTTCTCAAGTAGCTTATGCGGTTTGAATGTCATCCTGACTAGAAGAGACGGGATTTATGATCTAAAGAGCAATTTATTAAAAGGACAAAATCTGCTTTTCCTTGACTACGCAATTTTTTCCCCAGCTCTCGCAGTCTTTGCCTTACAAGAAGTACGTGGGAAATTTTCAGATATGGTACCGGCTTCTTTGATCTTTGCATCATACTTTAATTGCGTAGGCAGCTAGCTGGCTATAACACAATATCAGAGGTATAGTATTAAATAGATGAATCGATTTAAACCGGGGAACTGACGCCTAGGATTTTATTTGCGAGTATCACTGCGAAGTTATGGTGACTTTTCCCTCATCCATGAGTACCACCCAGGGAGACGTCTCACAAACTCCGAGTTATCCAGACATGCCTCCATCGTCTATTTACCCGTCTCCACGCGAAATGTGATCCAAAGTGTCTCTTTCCCAGGTGGAGTAGGTTCCTAGCCTATTCAGACTATACCGGAGACAGCCACCAGAAGGCGGACTATAGCAGCTTTTATGATTGGCCTATGTTCATAATGCTAGCTACACTCTCGCATCCGAAGTGTTGGCGCTGACAATGCTCTTGTATTTGTAAATCTCCTTGCATAAATTCCAGAGTTCACAACCGTCAAGATAGAATCCAACCTCTAGACAATCTTGTAAACTTGTCCCAATATCCCTCATGTCCATCCCAAATACTGCCTCACAGATTTTGCGCTACGATTTATTTCCTCCGGTGGGTATTAATATCGGCGTTGGCGTAAACTTGGTGGCAAACTGAGGCCAGCGATTAGTTGATGAGAGGTTTGGTCATTGACATGAGAATGTGCTAAGTCGTATTTGTAAAACTGTTCATGCTTCAGTGGGGATCAAACTCGTTGGGAGGGAGTGATTGATATGATGGAGATTCAAACCTTAGAGCACAATTTAAGGACTCTTTCCTGATTTTCAAAATAATACTAATGCAAGAAAGGCTACGATATCGAA